GTTAATTTGGACTGCAGTGGATATAGTCACTGGTCTTAGCTCTCTATATCAGGTAACTTGTGTCTATATTTATAGACCTTATTCTCATATAGACTCTTCTCTGTTCCCGGACTATCTTTATTTGTTCATTGATCCATCCTGAAATTCTTAACAGCAGCCCAACACTGTGCTGTTCTAGTTACTGTATAAAACACTGGGATCACTTCCTGTCACTCAAGTTTGACTACTTGAGCATTCTGCTACTTACTCCTTTCCTATTTGCCTTTCTCTCAGCGTTAATTCAGTGCTGATCCTTCCAGGGATGTTTAAATGAAGCAGAAAGAGAAGGAAAAGAGGAAAGTTCCTACCTACCTGGCAGAGGCTGCCCTCACTTTCTGCCCTCACTTTTTCAGATGCTTCCGCCTATTTCCTCTGCTGGCACACTCCTAGGGTCCTCTGAACCATCACCAGGGTCTCTCCCTTTCTTTCTTCTTTTATTTTTTTATAGCCTAAACAATCCTTTTTTTTAAATATTTATTTATTTATTTTAGTTTTCGGCAGACACAACATCTTTGTTGGTATGTGGTGCTGAGGATCGAACCCGGGCCACACGCATGCCAGGCAAGCACGCTATCGCTTGAGCCAAATCCCCAGCCCTCTCCCTTTCTTTATGGTGATCAGTACTTGGATGGCCATTGCTCTTTCTATAGTCCCCTTCAGCTTTCCTCTGTAGAGTTCCATTGGCCTTCACAAGGGATGCTCAGACCACCCCATGATTGGCTTCCCACGTGGCACACCTTGTGTCCACAGAAATGCTTTCTTTGCTTGCCACACACTCCAGCAGTGTTTGCCACGCAGAGCAGCCACCTCACGGCATCTCATCCATCCACAACCTGGCAAGCTCACTTCTTGTCCTTGACTCAGGTAGAAACAAGGCACTAGATGACTCTGTCTCCTATTGACAGTGACATTATGATGCTGTCTACATGGTTTTGTTGTTCCCAAACTTTGCTTTCAAAAAATTTCCCTTCAAAACCTCTCTCCAGACTCTAAATTTATACCCTTGATGTGAATGAGAGGATGTAACCAGTTGTCGATCAGCCGCTTCAAACCTCGTTCACGATGGTCAGTGTGTGGCATAGCTCTTTTCACTCAGGTGAGTCCCCTTTGAAAATTACGTCAGTCCCCTTGAGAGGGATGCATCTCGCGTGCAGACTGAGACCCAGATCACTTGAAGTGTAACTCTCTCTGCCCTGAGAAACCCCAGGCTCTCAGTACAGTGGCCTCCCCTCACCATAGCTCCCATCATCATTCAACCCTGCTGCTAAGTCTGCCCCCTTAACCACGGCCTTTCCACAGACAGTCTGCCCCAGTTCCCATAGGTACAGACCACTGCCCCTTCCCTCACCTTCATAGTCATACGACTGGCAGGCAAGCCCCCCTCTGGAACTCCTGCGTCCTTCATGAAAGTCGCCAAAACCATTTTGAGCCTCTCCTAGAGGGAATTCACGTCCAGTTCCATCACCAGATGGCCTTCCTTTCAATGGTGCTTTCCTCCCAGGTGACCAGGTGAACGAATGGCCTTCCCTATGGAGGACACTCACATGGTATACCATCAAATGCTAAAGTTGACTGAAGATCCTGGGCTCCCAGGGACTCACTGACCTCACTCACCACATAATCCAGTTCCCTGGACCCCAAGATGAACAGAAACACGACAACAGTACCTCCAGTACCTCTTGTTCCTGTAGGTTCAGGCGGGGGAGCTCACCCTCCGAGAAGGTAGAGGCTCCAGATTTACTGTGAGCTCCTTTTCATCCTGGGCTTTTTGAAAGTGGAATGGTTTTTAAAGGACCAGAGAGTTCCCATCATAACCCCCACACATCCCTGGCCTTAAAAAAGGAGAACTAGATATCCTTTGCCACAGGGCATGTTTCTGACACATTGTCTACCTTTAGATCATTTATAAAGCACAGGTGTGTCATGGCAGGTAAGCAGCCCTCAGGTTAGTTTGTTAAAAATGGAATACAGGATGAGAGGATTTCCATGGTACTTCCCAGTCTAAAATCTAATGATCTGATGATCCTAAATAATCTTCCTTTTGGTCTTTACCTTTTGGGTGATGAGATACAATAAGCATTGGCAAGGAGTAAAAAGAGGATGGGTGGACATTCAAAGGAGAGGCTGTGAGTTCTGTCATCTCCTTTGGGATCTTTTTGGAGTTGGAAGTTCTGAATCATGCTGTTCATTGATCTTCATTCAATTGTGAGGATGTAGCTGGAAATTCTGAGGACACATCTGGTCTTCAAACTCTCTTTTACTTTCCAGTGGTTTCTACAGACTCCTTGGTGTTGGAGAAAGTCGGTAATGTCAACAGCAAAGCAGGGAAATCATCTCCCAGCCATGCTCCCGGGAGGCCACCTGCCTTCCCTAGACAGGTCCAGATGGAACTTAATTAGGATTCAAAGAAGTTAATGTAAAACTCAAATTGATGTTTCTCCTATCGACCAATGGATGAGGTGCTGTGAGTAAAAATTAAATGGCAATAAACAAGATTGCTTTCCCTTACACCGACAGAGATCATAGGTGGGATGGGGGGCGGGGGTTGCAGGGGACATGTGTGGCTGGGAGGAAGTGAAGCTCTTAGCCACCCAAAGTTGCCTCCCTTGGCTACCCAAATCTCCTCTTGTCATCCTTAGGAATGCTTTTAAAACACACATTTACAAACACATTTTCCTAAAGCAAATACATTTTTTAAATAGTCTGGATTTCTTTTATACTCTGTGGCCAGAGACCCATGAGACTGGAGTCCACAACCACCGGGTACTCCTGGCGACTCAAGGATTAGTCTATACTCCTAGAGGTTGAGGTAGTTCTGTCAGCTCAGTTGGCTTATTCCAAATCATAGTGTTTAAAGTGGGGGCCCACAGAACCCCTAATTACAAACCCTTCAGTAAAAGGCCAACAACAGAGAGTATAGAAATGGAGCAATCGTCATATTCTCAAGGTACACATTGCCATTCCTCAGGTCACCAACATCAGTCCCTAAAGGGAGGGGTTCACTGGGTGGATCCTCTTAAGGACAAGCTGGGTGACAAAACACCTGGGTGCCATCATCTCCAGTGCAAACGTACAATGACATTTGAAACTCCCTCCTACCTTCACCTGCTTCTGGCTTCTGCTGGCAGAAACACTAAGACACCAAGACACCGTGAATCAAGAAAAAAAATGCCTTTATTAGGACCTCAGACCTTACCCTTGCTTTAAAATAAAGGCACATGCCTCCTGTTTTCCCAGCAAATTACAAAACAGGTAAAGTTGAAAACAAAGGAAATGCAAAACACAACCAACAACAAATCCGTTGGTAAACTGAGTACCATTTAGTATTTTTTTCCAACTTACAAAGTTAAATTGGGAAAACAACCAGAACTCATGCATGTTTATAACCTCATGAAATGAATTTCCTTAGTCTTATTTAAGGAAGATAGGAACAGATTTTAGCCACCTCCCCCGCTGCCCAGTGTTACCTAATCAGGGATCTGGGCTCCAACTATGCACTACATTGGGCAGCGGCCACTCTATTGCACAGCTGATAACTTTGGAGTGGCCATAATGGTTTTCTAACCCCCAAGCCCATGTTCATCTTGCTACCTCCATTGGGAGACTGAACATCACAGTAAACAAAAGCCCAGTGTTGATGGGTGGATGGGAGATGTGACATGGGAATAGAATCCATAGCAGTAAAATTCCTTGGAAGACACACAACGGGTAGCAATGTAAGACCAAGTCTGACCAATGTAAGATTAAGACTGAAGCTTATCATGTATCTAGTCAAAGTAAAAGAAATGCAGGTCTGAAAGGACATCTCACAGCAGCATTAAAGAACCTGCTATATCCACATCCACTATTATGTACAAATATAATGCACACACATACACAAAAATGTGGAAAATTAAAAAAACTCGATACAAACCATAAAGCTGGAACTACCTGACTTAACCTAAACTCAGCTATAAAAACAACTGAGGATACTCTGTTCACTGGCAAATGCTGAGTTTCCACATATTTCTGGGGAATAGAGGAAAAATACCAGGTCTCTAAACACAGATGTATATGTGTGTGTTCTCAGAGTTCAGTGCACAGCAGCTCAGAATCATTTGAGCTTGTTTTGACAAGCTTTGGCATAGGACATGCTCTGATTTTTGAAGCATTATTTATCCCTGAGTTGAAATGAGTTGAAACAGTAGGTTCAAATACTCAACAACTGTGAAGTCAAAGAACAGAATTTGAGTTACTTCCCACTATAAACTGAATGTTTGTGTCCCTCTCCACCTCATGATTTATATGTTATGACCCTGATCACCAATGTGATGGTACAGAAGGTAGAGTCTATGAAAGACAAGCTATAGGGATGGAGTCCTCTTGGGTGAAATTAGTGTCCTCTTAAGAAGAGACATGAGAGAGGTGACCTCCTTCTATACCAGGCAAGGACACAGAGAGAAGGTGATTGTCTATAAGCCAGGAAGCAGATCCTCATCAACCACCAAATCTGCTGGCACCTTGACCTTGAACTTCCCAGCTCCAGGTTATAAAAAAAAAAAAAAAAACTTCATTGTTTAAGTCACTCTGACTGTGGGATTTTGTTATAGCAGTCCCCATTGACTAAAACTGGTACCATGAAGCAAGGCATTGTGGCAACAAATACCCAATAATATGCAAGCAGTTTTGGAATAGGGCAATGAGTTGTTATGGTTAAATATGAGGCATCCCCCAAAAGCTCATGTATGAGAAAAATGCAATAGAATTCAGAGGTGAATATTGAGTTATGAGAGTCCTAGCCTAATCATTGCCTCAATCCCTTTCCACCATGATATTCTGCCTCACCTCTGGCACAGAGAAATGGAGTTGTCCATCTATGAACTGAGACCTCTGAAACTGAGCACCAAATAACCTTTTTCTCCTCTAAAATTGTTCCTGTCATGCTAGAAGCCACAGCAAAAGTATTATGATACATGGCACCTTTGTTTTAGGTGACTGCCAGCTAGCCATTGAGATGATATGATTATGTTAAGATTTACATTCATATGGAAATTGGACTCCTGCTGTTCACCCCGGCCTGTTACAGGACTCATGTTCCGGGACTCCAGGAGAGTTCCCATTGGTTGGGGAAGGATGGTAGGAGGGTATTTCCGGGGGAGGTGCAGGCCCCCGGTTCCGGTAGACGAACACACATGGGTGGACCGGCTTGCTAGCGGGAGGCACACGGATCACTGGCGGCCTTTTTAAAAAAAAAACTTTGTTTCTGCTCGAGCGGCTTGTGATTCTGTGCCCAGTCGGGTTGCAGCACTGTCAGCAGTGAAAAAGTTGACTAAAACATGGGTAGAGGTCAGAAGAGCTTTGAGATGCTGTGAGAAAGAGCCAATGTGGCCATGTAGGGACTGTTGAAAGCAATCGAGGAAAGGGCTGAGAATCAAAGAGCTATAGAGAAAGCGTCTTCTCATCTCCCAGAATGTGCATATATCCATGGATGATAAAGACCATTCTGACAAAGCCTCATAAGGAAATGATGGACATGGTATTGGACAATGTCAAAGCCCATGCCTATTATAAAGTGGCAAAGACTCAGCTGAATTGTCTTTGTACTCTAATATTTTGTGGAAGATAGAACTTGCATGTGATGAAACCAGACATTTAGTGGAGGAGACTTCTAAATTATTGAAGGAGCACTGGATTTCTCTGGACCAGGTATAGACAAAGGCAAGAAGGGAAAAATGAGCTCAAGAAGGGAAAAATGAGCTCAAGAAGGAATTGCTAAGCAAAGAGGAACCAGAATTTACCGAATAGTCTCACCTAGTTCTTACTATATAAAATGAGAGCACATGTTCTCAAGACTTCAAAGACTTCATCTGTTTTTTTCACACGCTGGTTTTTAGCACTTGGAATTGTGCCTGGCCTGCCCCCAAGCAGGCACTGGGGAAAAAGTGATGAGTTCATTTCTGTATCAATCACTGCATGATTTACATTTTCCTCACTGATTTGGAAATACCACTTTTATTAGATAAAAATCACATATTCAGTGTACTCCAAGATGAAAGCTCACATTTGCAATCTGCGCAGTGACCACATTGGTGGTGGCGGGGAGTGGGGAAGGGACAAGTCTCAGCAAACAGGACGGCCATTCATATGGGCTCAGAGTGAAGTCAGAGCCACCACCTGCTCCCAGCCCTGCTGGAGGGAGATGCTCTGCACACTCACTTTGCCTCTTCCTTCAGACCTTCAAAGAAAATAAAGAGCACCTATTAGTGAGCATGTGCAGACTCCTTCTGACAGGTCTCAGGGTCTCAGCTACAAAAAGCACTGAAGACCATAAGGAAGTTTCCTAGGCAGTTGAACACAATGTGACAGGAAACCGAGCAGTGGGGACTTGTGACAGAAAAAAAGCAATGCCCCTCTTCACATGGTCACACCTGCACCCCAGCCTTTGCATGATGATGGCAATTAATGGGGACACTTACATTATTTTGCTCCAAAAAGGCGAAGCATCTATCTACATTACTCAAAGTTCCAAACAGAAGAAACACCCATCCCCCTAACAGCATGTAAGGTGAAAACTGACCTGCACCTGGTTTTTCTCTTCTTTGTCATTATTCTCTTTGGCCACCACCTCCTGCTCTTTCACTGATTTCAGATTTAAAACATGCACAAGCATTTGCCCACTTGCTTTCTTTATTGTTATTTTTCTCTGTACTGGTTTCACCTGTTTTTCCAAATAAATAGTAAGAACTGCCATTCCAAGTTCAAAAAGAAGAAGAAAAAAGTCCCCTTGCAGTTCTGATTAAACTGCATTGAATGTATCAGTTCATTTGGTGAGCACTGACCTCTTCGTTGGTACAATGTGAAGTCTTTCTCCCACAAGACGCTGGGTTCGCTGGGTTTGTTCTCTTTTTCTGTGAATAGCATTTCCTGCTAAGTCCAGAACCCTGCCACCAACTGAGGCTGTTAGTAAGAAAAGAGAAATGGCTGACCCTTGTGTCTGAGCCAACCACCCTCTGTGCATGCACCTACCGGCTACCCAACCCCATCCCACAGTCCAGGGGTTCTCACCTGCTTCCCTGCCCTCCCTCGCCTCTCCCAGAGGCAGAGATGCACTTAGACATCCTTGAACGTCTGCATTGTCACTATTGCCAACATGAGTCATTCCAGAAGCTGATACTGAATGAATGTTTTCCTTCTTTGTGATCTTTGGAATCTTGTCCCACAGGACACTTGACCTGTCTTGACCCAATCTCCCTTTCTGTTCAAGGCCTTTGGTTTTCTCTTGTTCCTTTATACACTTTATTATTATTTTTTAAACCCAAATCACCTTCCTTAGGTCCTCTCTTCACTACTTGGAATCATTCATAAAAATTTGCTCGTACAATTTCAAAAGCTAAAGGCCTGCTTTTCCTATTAAGTTAGTCTCCAAGGACCCTGATAAAAGTGCTCAATGAGAATAGGACTCAGACTCTGCAGGGAAATAGCCCCACCAGGCTCAGGCCCCAGGGGACCCTCAAAATCAGTCTGCAGTCCTTCTGACCTTCCCCTCCTGGGTGAAACAGACTCTCCCTTCCCACCTGCTTCACCTCAAGAGGATCCCTCTCTCTCACTCTCTCACCTGAAGGTCACATGAGAGATGGCCCATCACTTGGAAGTCTTGCTTGAGTGGCTTCAGTCCTTTGAGATGATAATGCAACTGAAAAAAAGTCTAGCAGGACATGACCAGCCCATGGCTGTGAGCCACTTCTTCACCAACTAGGTGACATTTGTTTCTTCCCAAATTTTCTCAAAATCACCAACACAACACACAGAACCCCATTTTGAAACTATCAGCACTGGCCAATGGTGACTACAGTTTTCAGTGGCCCTCTGCAATCACTAGCAGCCAGGATGTCACTGTCCATAGTTTCACATGAAGTAGAGCGAATGCAGAAATGACCACTGTCCAGCCTGGGAGTCTGGCCATTTTCCCAGAAGAGAGCTGTTCTCAGATTCGATCATTTTTAGCGCTTGTTTTACTGTGTATGTAAAATAAGATGCTTCTGAAAATCCACAGGTTTAGATCCTGATCTCAGAGATCCCTGTTATAGCAGAGGGACAGTCTGGCGGTGCTTCCCCAGGATACATCCCATCTTTGGTCCTTCAACTTGTCAAACACTTATTGAGGATGTGCTAGTTGAAACTCACATTTCTGAGCACCCAGAGCAAAGCATGTCTGCTTCTCTTCTTCTGAAACTTAATGGGGGGACAGTCCTTCCCAAAAATATGTCTTTGCATTAGATCATGCTGTACACATGAACAAAATTTAACAGGTAGAAACAAATGAGAGTGAAGCAGTGAGTTCTTTCCTCATGAGTCAACTTGGGAGTTTGTGCCTCCATCTATGGTTAACATTTCATTTCGTCCTTACACCAGCTCTGTGCAATCACCTGGATAGGTAGGAATATCCTTGTTCTACAAATGCAGAAACTGATGTTTGCAAAGCCTAAGGTCACCAAATCAGAAAAGGAGACCATATTCTATCCAAAACACTTTCCCTACTTCTCAAACATCCCCACTCCCACTTTGGGTGTCCAACACTTCATATGACCTCATCAGAGATTTCCAGGACATAAAGTAGGAAACCCCAATCCTGTTGTTCCCAATATTATTTCCTTCACAGTATTAATCATAGCTTATAATTTTTTATTTATTTTTTCATCTTTCATCCCCAAAATCAATTCCATTTATGCAAGTGTCATCTCTAACTCATGGGCCACTCAGTTCCCAACCCCTGCCACTAGTCCCAGCACAAGAAAGATGTGCCAATAAATATCTGTGATATTCTGATTCCTAATTCTGTATCCCTGCCACTCTTGGGAAACAGTTTTTCTTAACTGTCTTACTAAGTAGTTCTAAAAGGGAATATTACCATTGCTTTTAGTCTTCAACATGAAATGTACACTTCCTGGGCCACATCAATGGGAGGTGCGGTTTGTGTATACAAAGTCCAAGCATTTTAATAAAATTTCAATAAATAGGCAATGCCTGATAAAATTGTAGCAATATTAACTAGCATTTTGGCATTTATGATGTATCTGACAGTTCTAACTATTCAATACATAAATTAACTCATGAGCCCCTCACAACAAATCTGTGGGGTTAGGGATGACTTTACTGTCCCCGTTTTACTAAAGGGAGAAATTGAGGGCTGGAGATGCACTATTGGCTGCCCAGCCTTTGAAAAACCGCTTTAAAATTATTCCTTAAAGGCCATGATGGCCTCCTCTGGTGCTGATAATGAGTCTTCTGTTGCCCCCTGAAAATCTTTTGCTTTGTCACAACGTGTCCAGCCTTGGAGGGCTTCAGGAAGCCACACCCCAAAGTGGGTCTCAAAGTGTGAGCACTTTCTGCCCCTGCCCTGCCCCCTATCACCACCACCACCACCTCTGCAGCCAGGGCCTCGAGCCTGCACCTTTACAGGATTGCACAGCCTCCATGAAGGATTCACCAAGAGGGACTCAGGTTGGGGCCTTTCTGCAGTGACCAGACACAAAATGATGGCTGAATTCAGTGCTTAGAAAGGAGCCTTGCTGCCAAGTTCCTCCATGCTGCCCAGGGGCTGGCACAGGGTCACTGCTGGGCTGCCTCTGTCTGCTGGAGCTGTCCCCACTCCTGACTTCCACTGGTCCTTCCAGGCTTCTGTTAACCTGTCTCTCCATATGCTCTTTTCTCTGAACCCCTTGGATGCTCTGGGCAGATCCAAAAAGACTGGAGTGAGTGAATTTCAGAGACCCTCCTGAAGCCCTCCTGCATTTCCAGTAGCAATCCTACAGCCCTGGCGGGCTCCCTTCTTGGAATCTCCAGAAAGACACTTACTGGTCTCTCTGATTCTAGCCTCTCCTTCCCTCTGACTTTTCTCCTACCTTTTAGACAAACAAACCCCTGTTTCTTGCCTCTCTAGGAAACACTACTATGCCAGGTAAAGAAAACAAAAGAGCTGCGGCTCAAGACATGGCAGGATATGTGTGTTCTGGCAGTATTGCTGACCTCACTCTCCCGATGACTGACCACTCTTCTCCTTCTCCGTTTCTGCTGCCACTCCTTAATTTTCTGGCTTCACTATTCCCTTTCTTTATAACCTCCTGGACCCAAGGTCCTGCAAACAGAAAAAATGCTGCCACCCAACCTCTGACTTCCAGGGGCTTCTCCATGCCTGCCCTACCCCTCATAGGCTCCCCTCACTGCCACCAAATCTAATGTAGTTTGCCAGAGCCCTGTCCTCCTGCCTCCTGGGCCCTTTTCAGGGGTCATACCTTCTGTATATCTCATACCCAGCGTAAAGGAGACATGTGGGTGAGGATCATCTCCGAAGTGTAAATCACTGGGGTAAGAAGGAGACACTCTTTCAAGACTGTAGGAACACCACACTTTCCTGGTATCCCTCCTACTTCTCTGGTTTCCCTCTTCATCCTTCATCAAGAGTTCAGTCTCCATTGCCCAACCCCAACCATACTCACTCTTTTCCAGCCTTTCTGCTTGGTAAGCTCACCAGGCCTGTGGCAGAAGACTCACCAATTTTGACCTACAGGTCAGACAGCTCTCATGAGCTCCCTACCCAAATATTCCCTCCTAACAAAGTCATCTCAATTCAGCATGCCCCAAACTTAACACTGAGGATCTTACTCTACAGATGAGCCTTCCTCCAGGGTTTGCTCTCACCTCAAGGGATCCCTGAGCCCCACAGCCTATCAGTTTTCCTCAATCCAGGTTAATTTTCAAAGCCACTTCTGCCTTAACCCCCTCCATTGCCCAGGGGGCCTCCTGATCAGTCTCCCCTCTCATCTTCTCTTTACAGCAGCTACTATCTTCTCTTTTAAAAGAATCCGAATGCACTCATTGACTTCCTCTGTGCAAAATCTGTCAATGGCTCCCCAAGTCTTCTAGGATAAAAGCTAAAATTCTGAACCTGCTCTTCAGTTTCTCGGAGTATCTTGGCTTCCTTTCATGTCCTCAGCTAGAAGACTTGTCTGATTCTTTCATTCCAGCCATATGATCCTCAAAACCTGCTCCCTGCATGTAGGCTGACCATCAGCCCAAGAGCTTTCCGAGGGTGAAGGTCCACTTCTGTTTACCTGACCCTTTTTTTTTAATCCCCAGTACCTAGCTAATGACTGGTATATAGGTGTTAGATAAGTATTAAAAAAAAAAAAAGTAGGTGAATGAATGAATAAGATTAAACTGACTTGTTCCAGCAGTACCAAGAGGTGGCAGAGTAAGCACTAGAGCCCAGGGGCAGCTCTTAATTAGATGGTTCTCTGGCTGCCACATACTAAACATCTGGGCTTTATTAAAGAGAAAACTAAGGGAAAGACCCCCAATTTTCCCAGTAGAGACAGAAGCCCAGAAGAGAGCTGGTGAAGCCTAAGACATTATGGGTGGTGTGGTATGAGTTCATGTTTCTTAAGAGTTAAATACATTTGCAACCTCAGGGGAAGCCCTCGTAAATGACATATTTTCACTGTCTCTTTGGGCCGTCATTAGGGCCTTCCTTCCTTCTCCAAGACCTGGCCTCAGCCCTAAGAGTATAGAAGCAGAAGTATCTGCCACCTTAAAGTGGGGGCTGCATCTGGGCACCTGCAGCATAATGTCCTGGGTTGCCTAGGGGATTGGGCCAAGTAAAATAGCAGGAAGATTTGGACCCCACTTTTCTTGGCAGGGTCATCCAATGTGTCCATAAGAGGTTTCTTCTCGGCAAAATAGTGAAGCCTTGGAAAAGATGTCATGCATATGGCCAGAACTGTCTTGAAAGTTTGGTTAAAAAAAATCAAATAACCACGCACTCATATGGCAAGTGTGTACTAAGTGGAGACTGAGCCCACTCCCCGGGGTGAAGTCAGACCCTGTCTTCAGAGACTTTTAATCTCCTAGCTGCAGAACCGGGGCACCAACCCCTAAGAATGTTAAGGATGGAACGTTCTGATGGCAGTTGAAGGCAGCAGTTGAAATTAAGGCCCAGGAAGAACAGAATTCACAGTCCAGGGAGGCACAGATACTCCAAAGAGGAGCTTAGAGAGTAAGATGCCCTGCAGGCCCTGCAGTCAGGAAAGGCAGGCAGACCAAACACAGTTACTGGGGAAAGAGCAGAGGAAAGAGGGATGGGTACAGGAGCCTGTGATGAAAAGAAGGAAGATATGAGAGTCCAGGATACCCAAGAAGCTGAGGACCCAGAGGAATCACTGCACCAGAAGGCAACTATGGCTCCACTGAGGGTCCCACCTGGCACAGAGCACCCAACCTCTTCCTCAGTCACTGAGCTAACAAGTTCTTTCATTTGGAGTTTGCCTGTGTCTAACAGGGATGAGCTGGTGCTTTGCACAGGGTATTCACTGGGAATCAGGACAACATCAAGTCTAGATGCATCTCCAGAGGCACAAACAAGAAACAAGTTTCAAGTATTAACTAAACACATTCATTCTTTCATTCAACAAATACTTATTGAGCCCTTATTATGCACTGTATAGTAGGAATATAAAAGCAAGCAGGACATCTCCTGTCTGACGGAGACTATAAAGAACTCCATAATGCTGATCTGTGATAGGTGTTTTAAAAGGCAGTGTGTGCTCTGTGAGAGTTGAAAGCCCCAATTCTAGTTTAGGGTTTCTCTATGAACATGAAGCCAAAATATATGAAAGATGAATAAAAAATTACTTAGTTGAAATGGGTAAGAGGAGTAGTAAGGGTAGCAGTAATCTAGATGGATGGAACTTCATTAGCAGTGCCTAAGTGCAGAGAAAGAAGTGTGACATATTCAAGATGCCAACAGAAAAATAAAGGGCAGGCATGGGTCTAATCACGCATGTTCCTAGAGGTCCTGTCAAGCGTTTGTTTTTGGAGTTCATGTTGAATTGTTCTGGTCTTGATGCTGAAGGCAAAGACACAATCACACAATGGCAAGGGCACTGCAGAGGTCAAGTACAGAGGGTTGAAACATGTGCAACACTACTGAAAATGGTTTGTGTGGTTGTATGCAATACAAAGTCTCAGGGAGTCGTGGACCATAACCCATCACTATTAAGGAATCTGTACTCAGTATCTATTACGGAAAAGAAAGCATCAAGCATCTCAAGATGCACAGAAACTTAGTAAAGGTTAAATTATGGTTTGACCAATGTCAGACCTTAGCCCAGCTTTGTTGTGTATGTACATGTGTACATCACCCTTCAAACCAAATCTGTATATAAATGTAGAAAGGATTGGAATCCCATGTTACCAATGAAGAATGAAGATTTAGGACAGGTACATAGCTTTCCAAAAGACAAGGGAAAAATAGGAAGAATGAAGACTAGAAACTCTTCTAGCTTGTCTCACTTTTCTCTCTAGCATAGGCCCAATGGTGCTTGGCATTACCACCTGTCAAGAAAATAAGATAAACTTACTCCCCCAAATTCATTCCTGCATGTTCATGAAAGACCTGGATAATATATGGACAGTATTTCACTCAGAGTTTGCAAGTAAATATATTAAATACTAAATAAATTGCCATTCTCCAGACACTAAAATGAGTTACTTTTAAAGCAAAGAGTTTCTCAAAATCATAAAATGAAATGGCAAGAATAAATGGAGGGAGAACCAAGTGTGCCGTGGTGAGAATAAAAACATATCCAGGTGGCGTTTGGATATGCAGAACTAATTAATACTCATACTTGTCTGTCACAGAACTCAAAAAACTCTTGGTGAAATCCACCTGGCAGATAAAGTTGTCATGTACATCACAGGACTGATGCACTGACCATTCCAGATCGCAGAAGAAGCAACATGACAAGTACTCTTCAGGTCATGTGGAAATGACTTGAAAGAGGGAGGGGATCCCTAATGATTTGAAAAAGAGAATCTGAGAAAGACAGATATACCAAGTTGTGGATGAGAGCATGAATGTGTGAGCCCCTACTCCCGTCCTTGGGTCCTCCAATGGCTCCTACTTAAACCTCTTGGTCCTGACAACCCACTAAGTGCCAGAGCTCCTCAAGAAAACTCAGCTCAAACTCCAGCTGTGTCAAAACTCCCCAGGGGATCCCTTGCCCCTAGGTTCCACCACAGCCCCATGTTAGGCACCTCACTGTCCCTTTTCTCTGAGCTTTTGACAGCCTCCCTTCTGCTCCCAAATCCCACCAGCTATATCTGACTTATCTTCCCAGCACCCAGATCCCTTCCTCCAGTTTGCACATACCAGAAATTGTAAAGTCCCAAGGAAACAGTCTATGCATCATGTGTCCATTCCCAGCTCAATTAAAGCTTCTAGGGCGTGGCCCTTCCCAAACCAGGCACCCCTTGTGGGCTTCCTCTACAAGTGCCTCATGGCCCCTTCTTGGTACTAGGAAATTCCAGGAAGAGCGCCTTGGAGCCTGAAATGGCCCAGCTGTTGGTTGTTCCATGAATAGGCAGAGGCACTCCATCCTTTGGTCCTGACTCCTTCTCAAACATGGCTCATCCCCCACTCTGTGTGTTACTCCAAAATGAGCTGGACTCCAAGGTGATGCTCAGGGAAACGCAGCCTGTCTCCCAGACTTCATTTGGAATTTGAATTTGATCTGAGAGTTCCTTCTCCAATCCCCATCTCCCGTTTGGGAAGCTTTCCAGGAGTTGGCTGCTCTGCTGTAGGTGGGGGAGCCTTGCCTTCAGCAAAGCCTCACCAGAGGGCAGGCTGCCTGTGGGCAGGGTGCAGCCCACATCCGCCTCTCTCTGTGGCTATCTTCTCTGCATCTCATTTCTGGTCCTTCCCACCTGCCTCTTCTCTCTTGGGGAGCAGAAGAAGAACTGAGCCCCCCAGGGTGCCTAAAGGAGTTCTGATGGGAACAGGAGAGGAAGGTAAAGGTAATGTCAGGTCCTGGGTGGGGCTGGGCTGTCCCTGTCCCCAGGACCAGGCTGGTGGTTGGCACAGCAGACCCAGACAATAGTTTTTGCCCACTTTTCCTTTGCCAGACAGAGCACCCATCTTTCATCCCACTGCGCCTCCCCCTTTTCTACCCAGAAAATGCTTTCTACAGAAGGGACCATCCCTGACCCTGAGAATCAAATGGAGACGAGGTTGTGACCCTCACGCCAAATGGCCAGGGCTTTGTCTCTTCCGGCATCCTCACCAATTCTTTGAGCTTCTTTCCTCCAAACTCTACCCAAGAAACCTTCTTAGTCAGCTGCATGTTCCTTCCTTCACTTCTTTTCCTACTCATTTTGGGACGAATCCTTCCTTTTCTCCTTTTCCCTTACTCACGGATGCCCTCCCCACCCCTTTGCTTCTTTTTCTGTAAGATGCATGGGAATTAAGAAAGATGGCATTGATCCTGCTTATCAGAGATCTTATTTTCCTTTGCTTATACTCACAGCCCACCCAGCTCACATGGTGGTCCCCAGAGATGATGTCAGGCCAGAGAACACGCGTCACCACAGTTCTTCCTGCCAGAGACGGTCCCTTCCTTCAGGAAGGCTGTTCTTGACATTGCTCTTGGTTCCCACTCCTATGTTGAAACCTGTGCATGTATCTACAACCTAAGACATGACACCATTCCAGTCAGGAGATAGTCTGTTTTGAGGAATTTCTCATTTCTCAATGCTGTATTCTTTATGTCAAGTTGGAAGGAACCCCCTAGAAGTCCCCCAAATATCTCTTTAACTCCTTACCATATTAACTACAAGCAACTGAGCACCATGCTCAATTATAGGAATTCACAAAGGCCCAAGAGAAATCAAATTGCTTACCAAACCAGTGGGGAAACTCTGGAATTAATATGGGGTAAAGTTAGGGGCTGTATTTTTATTTTAAATCCACTATCAACAGTTTAAAAAAAAAAACAAAACTGGGCTTTATTTAGCAAATCGAGTGTGTGTTTTTCAAGGATACACTATAGCTAAGTAAGCACAGAACACCATTTTACAATTTGAAAAGCGTGAGGACTTCAGTGGGTAAACACAGTATATGAGCAAAAATGGAATATTATCAGTTAAAAAAAAAAAAGGAATGAAGTACTGATTCGTACTGCAACATGGATGAACCTCGAAGACATCATGCTAAGTGAAAAAAGCCAGTCACAAAAGGTCACATATTATATGACTCCATTTATACAAAATGTCCAGAACAGACAAATCTATAGAGACAGAAAGCGGATTTCATTTTTGCCCTGGCTGAAGACGGGGAGTGGGAAGGGACTGCTAATGGGGTAATTGTCTCCCACCTGTAAAGATTACTAAAAACTATCGAATTGTACACTTTATATGGGTGAGGTCGTATTATATCCTAATTATATCTCAATAAAGCTGTACAAAAGGAAAAGAAAGAAAAACATGAGGACTTTAATCTCTGTGTGTGTACAAAGAATCGTAATTGCAAAATTGAATACCCAAATATTGTCACCCACCATCCAGAAATGCATTGGCAGAGGGAGGGGTTTGAGTGGGCTCTCCTCTCCTTTTCTCAGTGTTTTCGCCTCCTGGTTTAGTAGTGCTCCCTTTCGCCTTAAGGGTGATGGAAATAAGGAGGAACTTTTCATTCCTTTGCTCATTTATCTTGAGCCCACCTTTTTGCAGAGCTGATCCACTGACATGCTTTTCCTAATGCCAAGGTCATGGCCCTGCAGGCTTCCACTTTCCCCCAGGGAGGGCAGTCCTCCCACTAACTAGCCTGAATCCTCTCCTCTCTGTCTGGGCCCCTTGTTGTGGTTCTCTGGCCACTCAACTCTGGGATGGTCTCCAGGTCCAGGGCAAGCTGGGAGCCAGGTCATTGATGGAGCTGCTGTCAGGCTATTGCAGTTGGGGAAGGAGCCAACAGAGGAGGAGGAAGAAGCAAATTAAGAGACCCAGAGAAGTTCCTCTTTTGGGATGAGTCCCGGCCCTCTCCTCCCAAGCCCCCCAGACTGATGCATTCCATCCCTCCTTTCCCCGCTCAGGGCTTGCCCTTTCCAAGGTAAATTATCACAAGAGTGGGGCCTTCAGCGTCTTCTCCTATGAACTTGACTTTGATGATGGGTGTTGGCCCCCTTTTGGAGCCTGAGCCCTGTGGGTCTGACACTGGGTGTCTCACTTCCAACATCTGGTTATAAAACACTCAATAGCACAAGAGCCTGCCTGCTGCCCACAGTGGTGGGGTGGGCAGAGCCAGGGAACTGTCCCACAGAGATACTCCTAAGCAAATGGTAAGGAGGCCCTAAAGTGAGCTGCACAAGCTACTGCTAGTGTAAGCAGCTGGTTCACGCTCAGTGTGTGGCTTCCCATTCTGACCCCCTGAGTGCAGTTCCCAGCCTTCCTGCCCAGGCACCTGCTGTGCCACTTCCAGAAAGGAACTCATGCTGCTCTCCTGAAGAGCTCTGCCTGGGAACTGGAAGGATTGTTCTCATCTCCAGAGAGGCCACTGGAAAGAACAAGCTTGTCCCCCCATGCCCTGCTGACACATGTTCAAAGACCCTGTTTCTCTCATCTTCTGAACTGAGGAAGCCACGGGTGTACAAAAAAAAGAGTTTGAGGAAGAAGGAATTCTCCAGCTTGAGTCTTTTTCTGCACACTAGATGCAATGAGGGTGCAAATACTCTAGGCAGGATTGAAACTTTGCTTTTGCCAAGAGTATTTAGGGGGGAAATGGATGGTAAGGAGAATCACAGAAATTCTGCGTCCCCTTTCCTCCAACGTCAGAGGAGCCGAGGGCTTGGTGATCTCTGGTTTACCCTCCATCCCAATGCCCAGGCTCTGCCTGTCTTCCTCTCCCTGGGGAAGCAGTTCATAGCAGGTCTAACAATCAGGGCCCAATGCTGCTATTTGCACCAGAACTTAATTTAAAAAAAAAAAA